CAGTGATGAGTGATTAAACAGTCTCTGTGTGTTGTTTCCTGGGCAACACTCTAAGAGAGCTTTTACCTTTACAGAACTAATGGGTCAAATAGAAGCAAGTTTTCTTCAAAACGACTGTGCATCATTTTAATTAGAAGTAGTAAATAGTAAATCAGCAGGCAGAAAAGCTTGATTAGTGCCACCAGTGCCTCAGTATAACTTACATAACTTACTGTCATTTATCTTTACTTCCACCCACCCAATTCCCCTGTGTGAACAAGGCAAGCTCCATTTAGGACTTCAAAACATCCTCATTCATATAGGCAGTCAAATACATAAATACTGATATCCAAGAAGTTCTTGGTGAATAATCCACGAATTCCTCACAATTGGGTATGGTATAAAACACCCTGCCTTCTACCCTAAAATTCTGAAGCTCCTCAGCTCAACTGTGAATTTGTATAAACTACCTTCCTTCCTGAACCAAACCTGTCTCTGAAAATTAAGATCCAGTCATTTAGAAATAATATTTTAGAAGGTCCTTTGAAAACATTTTCAAAACTGCTTCCTGCTTTGCTACTACCAATCTGATGCTGTCTACAGGGCAAAGAAATAAACAGCCACAGCCACTGGTTTATCTCCTCACAAAAAATAAAATAAAATAATTTAAAAAAATCCCTTTCCAACACTTTTTGGATTGGTAAACTGAAGGTTGTTTCTCTTACATTTCTCTAATAATTTTTCCCTTGAACTTTTACTCTAAGGATGCTTAAGTGCTTTCTAGGTCATATTTTAATTAGAAGCACAGCATATAAAGCCTGTTTAATGTTAAGAAGTACTAAATGACTCCAGATACAAAAACGAAAGAGAAGTTAACAGTAGAAAGGAAAATTGGCATTCTAGGCTCTTAACCATCTGGAGCTGACTCCTTGCCTAGCTCTTTCACTACTCACTGTCCATGACCTTACTGCTTTGATCTCCTCAGCCCCCGGCCTAGAAAGGCCTTTCTTTCCATACTAGTTGTCCTATTTCCACATGTCCAAATCCTACCCATTCTTCAAAACATAGTTAAAAATGTCAAGTCTTCCATATTCTTACAATGAACAGTAATCACTCACTCCTCTCTAAATTCTTCCAGTACTTTATCTGTATCTCTTTACCACCAGTAACTTTCTGCCTCATATTATCTTTGTTTCCATATTTAATCCCCCACATAAGCATAAAGGTCATGGTGCAAGGTCCACACCTTATTCATCTCTATTGAAACTGCTTAACAAAATGTCTTGCACATACTAGGCACTCCAGTTGAATTAAAAGAATGGCTTGAGTTAGAAAAGGAGAGAAACTCGCTAGAAACAACTCCAGGAGTCCGGAACCCTAGCTTTGCTAATAACTAGTTATATGACCTTGGACTTCAGGTGTCAGTATGTTCATTTGCAAAGTTAGAAGGGTGGGCTGATCCAGTTTGTTTGTTTAACTAGACTGTTACACATTAGTTGGGTGTAAAATTAATTTGGTGGTATTTTTTATAAACGAAATAAAAAGAATATATCAAAATACAGGCAGTTATATGCTATAAATGTTTAACAAATATGTGGGGAAGTAGGGGGTCAGAGCTATACTATTTGCTAGTTTCCCTGATGTAAAATACTCCCACCCTGACCAGTTTCAAGCTACAACATATCACTGAATTTGGAGCTAGGTGGGAAGAGATAGGCATAACTGCCCTTGCAAGCCAGTGTGAGCCAACTCAATACAGCCCTGAAAAGATAAGGAGTATTTCAACAAACTTTTCTTTCAAATTCGTCTGTGCACGCACAAACTCATATGCTGAAACACAATATAAAATGTAGTTCTTACTGTGTGTTACAGTCAAAATAGTTTAACAATGCCCAACTAAACAATCTCCTAATCTCCTCCACCTGTACTATAATTCAATAATTCTTATTCTTGGTTACACAACTAACTATCTCTTCACCACAGTTGATATTTTCCTTCAAAAATGAGACTAACAGATGTCTCTTGATATCACCAGCAAGCAAATAAATGACAGGGAGTAAGAATTTAGTTTAGAAATCATCAGCCAAGATCAAGTTCTCAGACTTTGTTCAGCCCCATATACCTAAAGGACACAACACACTCCTACTATAGCAATAGCTCACTTAGGAAGGGGCTGGGGGGAAAGGAAAATAAAATCTGTACTATAAAAGCAAACATCCAAGTGATTCTGGTATTTGTGTTCATGCTAGGTCCAACTGAGAAACCTGGAATAGAGAAAAACAGTGCTGCTAAAAAAAAAAAAAAAAGTAAATTTTCCATACCTGATGTTTCCCAAAGTCCCAGGGACAAGCTTTCATTCTTCAATAGAACCTTTATTACTAAGTCTCTCCTATCAGAATTAAGTTTTTGCCATGCACTAGAGCCACACAGTATTTGTTGAATTTAGAATAGGCAAAAAAGGAGAATAACTCTGTAAACACTTGTTAGACTTGCTATTCTGGGAAAATCAACCTTTTGTTGAAAAAAAAATACTTTATTTTCTTAATTCTTATTGAAGCTTACTGAACCAGGTAAGGAGCAAAGAAGTTTCCTGAATATATTTTTGGCTGTACTATGTCTATCACAACATAATCTATAACAATATTTTTCATGAGTATTTATAAAGAAATGTCTTTTCCATTTTTAAGGCTCTTTAGAAAACAAGAATGCTCAGAATTTCAAGTACACTAATAACCTTAACCCAAATCTAATCCTAAATCAACTGAATATATGCCCAGAAGTTTCCTAGGAAAAATCCCAAAAATTTACCAAAAGATTCAGTATGAGCATAAACTTGCTATGCTCAATTATGGCATTCTGTCTGTTGAATAAGAGCAAAAAAAAGGAATGAAGTATAAAAAAAGAGAATGTTGAGATACAAGTTCTGTTTAATTCCAATAAATCTTCCTTATTATAGGGCCCACTGATGCCCACATACTTATGTCCAATTCAAATAAGAACTATAAAGTCAAAATTATTCCCCATTAGGAAAAGCCAGGCATCAATTCAAGCAATGTCTTTCTCCATATCTCAATTTTAAGACTTTATTTAAAAACTGTCAGGCTCAAATCTGTCCTTTGCTTTCACTGTCACGGAAAATGCTTAGAAGACTTATCTCCTTAAGAAATCCCTGAGATTTCTTTGAAGTACCAGCAAGGGAATAGCCGTGGGCTACTGATGATCCTCAGGCCCTAGAGAGTTAGAAACTTGTAGCAACTCATTAAAACTTGTGAGACATGAGGAAAAAAAAGCTGTGTGCCTGGGAATCACACAGGCTACAGTATCAACTTCAATCTCCAAACATCCACTAATTAATTCCACTAAAATCATCCCCATACCATTTGAAGAGAATGGTAGGCTAGAAAGCAGTGCCAGTTCTACATCCTCAATACAAGAAATTTTTGCTACTTTAGCTACTCTCTCTTCAAAGTCAATATCTACAAGTTTGGCTATCTCCCACACATAATATTTTTACTTGGCATAACAGAATCTCTTCTTCTGTCTACTCCCAAAAAAATGAATAAAAGGACATTCAGCTTTTTTATTTTGTTTTGTATAGCGGTGCTGGGGATTAAACGCAGGGCCTCACACATTCTACCACTGAGCTACATCCCCAGCCCTAGAACTTTCAGCTTCAATGCCATATCATCTGAGAGTTCAAATAAAAACATAGTAACTAAGCAATTTCAAGACTGGGTTAAGGCAAAGAAAAAAAAAGGCTTAAGTACAAGTTTTTAGAAGTCATAAATTCAGAACCGGTGAACTGATATACATGAAAACTCCTGTTTTACATACCCAGTAAAATTCTGTCATTCAAAAAAAATTACCTCTAGCGTGAAAAGGATCTAAATCATGAAACAATTATCAAAGAAACAAAAATTATATCATAACTATAATATACAGAAATGCCCATCAAAAAACTCAGGTCAAAAAAAATAATAATAAACTTCATACATTTATTGTCATAACTTTTTAGGTTAGTCTGTAATGTTTACTATTTGCCACAATAGAACTGGGACCCACTACCTTGTTTCAAGCTTTCTAGAGTACAATGTATGCTATATAATATTCAAGAATAAGCCCTGCACTATTACATCTATTTCTCTCCAGATGACTTAATAATACAAAATATCAGAGCACATCTTGAACTGATTTAGTAGAGACACCAGTCTGATTCAAAGTCTTGGCTAACTTCCTAAACAGGTAAATATTTAATACAATTTGATAGTGTATACATTAAATTCATCTAGTCTTTCTCCTTTGCAATCTCCTAAGTTTCATATGGAAAGCTCTACAGAGATAATGAATCACAGGCCAGTTTTTCTGTGCTTGCTAGCAGCTTGTGAACCAATATTTTCCACCAAAACCACTTCCAATTTGACCACAAACTTCATGTCCATATCTTCTGATGTCAAAACTACTGGATTTTCTCCAAAAGTGCAGGAGACAAAAAATGTAAACACTACTATGAGAAAAGTCAAAAGGTTTCCATGAAATTATGTTTTATGAATTGTAACAAGCAACTATTTGCCTCAGTTTATGCAAAAGAAAATTCAAATGTATTTAATATCCCTAACCCTACCAGTGCCAAAAATATAGGCCTTGAAATCTGATTTCAAAAAGCACTGAAATCTGTCAAGCAAGCGAAAGTTCTCCTTACCATTAGTGTAAATGAAGTAGACATTTTAGTTCATTTGCATGAAGCCATCAATTCTGCAAGTGACCGCCTAAATACTGATACATTTTCTAAGATAACTGAGAAGTTCAAGGTGAAAGAATTCAAAAGCACCTGAACACACTGCCTTGAGATCCGAAACAAACTGTCTGTTCAGCCCCCTTGCTCCCTGCCACCTCCCACTGGCCAGTGGCCCCTTTCCACATGCTGACGCACCGCCCAGCCCTGCACCGTTGGCGACCAAAGCAAGTACTAGCCTAGTCTCAAAAACTTTGACTCAGTTATCAAAATAGTGAGCATTCAAGACCTGGGCGAGGGAGTGCTGGGGTGTTTGTTGTCCAGGCGGTCAACTTCGAAGCGGGGCATTCCTAGCAGGTAGAGATCTGCCCAAGACGCAGCCCATCCCAGACTGAAAAACCACAAGCATTAACAGGAGCCCGGCAAAGTGCTCAGCCGAGGAAGGGGAAAAGCGAGCTAGAGAGGCGGTCACCAACAGAAACCTGAGTGTGGGTAATGCCCGAACCACACGCCCCTAGGACGCGGGGAGGCTGGGACTGCGACCCCAACAGCGGCCGCAGCGCAGGCAGCAGCAGGGTCAGGAGCGCGCAGCTGGAGGCTCCGACAGCCCAAGCCACCACCCCGCCCCCAGGTGAGGGGCGCCCACCCCGCCCGCCCGGGCCGCGAGGAGCGGCCGCCCCGGAGAGCCGCTGCGCCCTAGAGGCGGCCGACACCCGAGCCCGCCCTCTGCCCCCGCCCACGTCCCCCCAGCACTCCCGCCCCGGCCCAGCCCCACCGCGACCCCTCTGGGCGCGGCGCGCACGCCGACGCCCCCAGCAGGCCGACCCGGCCTGCCGCTCGGGGCCGGGCGCCCTCGGGCCCCGGGAAGCCGCCCGCGCCTCACCTCCTCACGTCTCCGCCGGCGCTGCCGGAACAACTCCACCAGGCACCCGCGTCCCACCCGCCGCCCCGCGCTCTGCGGCCGGGCGGTCCCGTTCACTCAGCCGCCGCCGGAGCCCAGGGAGGGCGGAGGGAGCGGGGCGGGGGAGCGCCGAGGGGAGGGGAAAGGGCCGGCTGGGCAGGAAGAGGCGAGGGAGGGGGCGGGCGGAGGCGAGGCGGGGCGGGCGCGCGCGCACCCGGCCCTTCGGCGCGGCGTGCGCGCTCCCGGACGCGGAGGCGCCTTCTCTGCCCGGCGCCGGCGGCGCGGGCGCAGGCACGTCCCGGCTGGGCTGCATTTGAGCCCGGGCCCGTGGAGCGGCAACCTGACAGTACCGGAGTTGAAGGAGCCGGGACGCGCAAAGGCGCGTGAGTGCTCGAGGCTGGTGGAACCCGGGAGAGGACCCGTGCCTGCGAACGGCCCGAGCAAGGTGGACTGAACTCTAAGATTAATCCTTCTGGAGAAGATTATGTTCTTGCTCATAAGCCTGGTTTACATAGTTCCCACTAATCTTCAGAGAAGTCACCTCACAGAGCAAACTTTGCACCAGTCACTCTTTTCCGTCCTCCTTTCAAGGTTTGTGTGCACCTGAAGCGCCCCCCTGTTGGTTGGTTCTGAGGGACTCAGAGATTGAAGAGGGAAGTAACCTGCGGGAATGAACGGGAACGCGCTGAGCACCGTAGTGCGCGTATATGAATGGACACAAGGTACCCTCGATTGCACCTTTTCGTCCTTTGGGGTAATAGGTCTTGGAGTACAAAAAAAAAGAGAGAAACAAGCCAACTCTTTTTCGCCATAGATGTATCGATTGATCCTTAAACTGTCAATATTCTTCCTAGATTGAACAGCCAAAAATGACCTGTACATTTTCTGAACCTCTTTGGCACTTTTTTTTTCTGTAGATTTGTGACACTAATATAGTCAACCTTATTTAGGTTGATCTGTACAATATTTTGTCCCCCAGAAGAACCCTTGAGTATTTTCCACGATGGATCACGCCTGATAGGAAGTATTCAATAAATGTGACTCCAAAGAGCTCATGTGTTAGGCAATGTAGAAATGTTCAGAGGCGAAAGGATTGGATTATGAGAACTGTAAATAAAAGTGAATATAGTGCAGCAAGGAATAATTGTGTCCAGTGATTTCAGCTCTAGGATTACTTCTTTAGTTTAAAATGCTCCATTCTCTCCCACTTCAATTCCCAAGCCCTTGTTTCTCCATACAGATCCAGAAGCTACTAAGAAATGTGACATTTGTCCAAGGGCCATCTAATCCCAAGTTTCTTTTTACCTGTTTTCCTAAGGTTTATTTCTGAAGGTGCTGGGACATATCAAGAGTGTTCCAACTATTTTGTGTTTTCCCTGTCTGCTGGGCTCCTTCCCAGAGGGCATTTTATTAAGCTCTGTATTCCCAGAGCCTTCCTAGCCTTAGAGCCTAACTCAATGAATGCTGGTAGTGTTGGTGATTGTTGTGGTTTGGATCTAAAAATGTCCTCCAAAGAGCTCACGTGTTAGGCAAGGTAGAAATGTTCAGAAGCAAAAGATTAGATTATGAGAACTGTAGCCTCATGAGTGGATTAATCTATTTGATGGATTAATAAATGGACTGCTGTGTGGTAACTATAGGTAGATAGGGTGTGGCTAAAAGAAGTAGGTCACTGGAGGCCTAAGACTGTATCTTCCTTTCTCTCTTTGTCTCTCTCTCACTCTTACACTCTCTCAAGCCCAAAGCCATAGAGTTGGCTGACATGACTGAACCTCTGAAACTGTGACCCCAAAATAAACTTTTCCTCCTCTAAGTTGTTCTTGTCAGGTATTTTGGTCACAGCAATGAAAAGCTAACAGTGATACTTAATAAAGTTAGAATTAAAATTAAAAATTAATGCAAATTATCTGTTGACTTCCTGAGACACGTTTAGTTTCAGTTTTCTTCAAGTACTAAGAATTGAAACCAGAGGCACTCTACCACCGAACTACACCCCCAAACCATTTTATTTTATTTTTAATTTATTTCTAAGAAGGGTCTCACTAAATTGCACAGGCTAACCTCTAACTTGTGATCCTTCTGTCTCCACCTTCCAAACTGCTAGAATTACATGCATGGGTCAGTCACCACACCCAACAACATACATGTTCTATTTATAAATATTCAACAAGTAGGTGCTAAGGCTCTACTAAATAAAGTACAATAAAGATACACTGGGCACCATCAGGAAATCAACAAATGGAAAAGCCACAATTTCTGTCTTCTGATATTTTCTCACAAGAGCAGAGCTTTTTGACAAAAAGGACAATGCTGAAATAATTATCTTCATTCAATAAGAAATTTAGCCAAAAAAAGAAAAGCATAAAATTTTTTTATGATGGAGACTCCAAAACAAATTTAGTGTTCCCCAAATTCAGTTCCTTATGCCTTTAAAAATAATAATAGTGACCACCATTGACTGTTTCCAGTTAGTTCTCCTATTTAAGTGAAGCATGTGGTAAGATCAATTCATGTACCAGCTTGCTAGAAAGAAAATAAAAACCTTGTCCCTTGGCCACATATCACACCAGGGATCGTTCTGTAAACCTGAACTTTTTCTTCAAAGTAGACCCTAGATAAGAGACAAGGCATGAGAAAATTTAAATATAAGACAGTGAATGTGATTTGATACAGATACATCCTCATCACAGGGAAAACAATTCTAAGCTTATGTCAATGAATTCATAACAAAACTTCTCATAATGCTGCTCACTTCTCCCTCCACTGAGGCTTCCTTTGCATTAAGTGTGTCCTAGGAGCTCTGATCCGTGAACTAAAGGTCTCACTTTGGGAGAAGGTGTTACAGAATATTCCAGCATGATTTATAATATGACAAAAACTGGTGGACCAGTTTCAGATCTAACACACAAACTTATTTGTCCTGCATGATACTTGTTTAAAAACAAAACAAAAGCCAAAGTTAAAAAAGCAGATTTCACATGCATTTTGGGCTTCTCTTTTAAAAATGGAAAAAGTTAAAATCAATAAAAAGTAGAAGATCTGATAACAATGAACTTACATTCTCAGGCAACAACAATCATTTTTATGACATACTTCTGTTTTGTCTCTGCATTCCATATCATTTCCTACACTATTTTGTTTCCCTCGCTTAGGTCTGCAACTCTCAATATATAATAGCTTAACATAAAAAAACTGTAAACAAGTTAGACATTGGACAATAATGAGAGTTTAAATTGTGGTATTTAACAGAATATCATATTGCTTTTACAGTAGGCATTACTGGTTGATTCCCTACCATCCATTTTCACCTCTCTGCAATTGTATACAGCCAAGGAAATGAGTTGAGTTAGGCCCATCTTCAGCTCCAGGTGTGGGCCCTATTTTACCATAATCAGCCTTTTCTCATCCTCAACTGACTCAGTATTCATGGTTAGGCACTGGCACAGCTCTAAATTGGTCCAATCATATGGAAGGCCAGATTCTGTGTTAGGAAATGAAGAGTGTTCTCTTTCCCACTCTGGCTGGTCTGAGGGGTGAATGTGAGTCCTATAGTTACTGCAGGCACTTTGCTAACATGAGGGAAGCCAGCCTGAGAGTGACACTGACACATAATGGAAGAACTCAAACCCAGTTTGAAGCCTTCCTCTGTGTTTAGTAACTTTTCTGAATCAATAAATTTTCTTAGCAGTTTAAGAAAGTTTGAGTTTGGCTTTTTATTATTTGCAACCAAAGCTATATTTTCCATGCATGTTACAGAAGAAAGAGCTACCATTGTATTATCTGACTCTTCCAAAGATATATATCCAATGGGATGCTAACAACCTGTTTGGTAAGATTTCAGAGGGTCTTAAAGGAACTTGACCACTCCCCCCAAATCCTTCCCTGACTAGGTTATTTAATGCAATCATCACTATACATTTTTTTTAACTTTGATTTAACTCTGTCCCTTATTTAAACCAATTTCACTGGGAAGAGCACTTAATGACTATAATCTGTTATCTTTTATGAGTTTATCATGGTTTCTGAGTCATTGTTTGGAAGTGGAAAGACTGGAAAACATGACACTGACTTCCTGAGGAAGGGGGACATCGCAGAGGGAGCAAAAAATGTAATAGAAATGAGGCTAGAAACATAGAAAAAAAACTTTCTAATTCACTTTATGTTGGGCTAAAATTCAGAGTAATCTAGACAAATCATACTAAACCTGTATGATAAACGGAACCTATATTACTATTACCCTTTTAAGACTGTATAAGAATACACTCAAACAGTACGTATATGAGGATCAGGGAACTTCCTTATGGAAGAGGTAGGCAAAGCCAGAAATGTATTTTAAAGAAGAATAGCTAGCCTATTGTTTTATAATTTGATAAGAAATAAAAAAGATACCTACCAAAAACTGTTTTCTATCCCTGTAGTGTCTGAAATTTACCCCACCATCAGAGTTCTTTTCTTTGATCTGGGACAGTGATCTACTATGTATAGTGTACAACAAAATCAGTTTTGGAGATTACTTTAAAATCTGATCCTCTTTATCCAACCCCTAAGAAATTCAGTACCTCTGGGGTAGGATCCAGGACTTATTTTAATTTTTTATTATTAAAATTTGTTTAAGAACATAAAAAGTAGAATATAATGAGCCCTCTTGTGCCAGTCACCAAGTTTGCAAAATATCA